TGGAACATAAGGAATAGCATGGAGGACATTACGAGAAGGAAGGGAAAAATGTAGGGGGAGAAATCAGAGGGGGAGTAAAACCATGAGAGACTATGGACTCCGAGAAACACACTGAGGGTTTTAGAGGGGAAAGGGGTGAGGGGATGTGTAGCCCAGTGATGGGTATTAAGGAGGGCACGTATTGCATGGAGCACTGGGTGTTATATGCAAACAGTGAATCATGGAACACTACATCAAAAACTAATGGTGTACTATATGGTGACTAACATAATAAAAAAAATTTCTTTAAAATTGAAAAAAAAATAATTACTTTGAAGGTAAATGGACTAAGTGCTCCAATCAAAAGACATAGGGTGACAGAGTGGATTAAAAAAAAAAAAGACCCATCTATATGCTGCCTACAGGAGACTCATTACAGAGCTAAAGACACATGCAGATTGAAAGTGGAGGGAGGGAAAAACATTTATCATGCAAATGGAAGTGAAAAGAAAGCCAGGGTAGTAATATATATCAGCCAAAATAGACTTTAAAACAAAGACTGTAACAACAGACAAAGAAGGACATCATATAATCATAAAGGGAATAATCCAACAAGAAGATATACCAATTGTAAATATTTATACACTCAACATGAGGGCACCCAAGTACATAAAACAACTATTAATAAACATAATGGAAGCAATCAATAGTAATACAATAATAGTAAGGAACTTAAAACACCCTACTTAATGGGTACATTATCCAAACAGAAAAAAATCAACAAGGAAACAGTGGCTTTGAATGACATTTTGGACCAGGTGGATCTAACATATATTCAAAACATAATAATAATGAAGATTAGAGCAGAAATAAATGATACAGAAACTAAAAAATAATACAGCAGATCAATGAAACCAGGAGCTGCTTCTTTGAAAAGATCAACAAAATTGATAAACCTCTAGCCAGACTCATAAAAGAGAGAGAGAGAGAAGAGAGAGAACCCAAATAAACAAAATCACTAATGAAAGGAGAAATAACAACTAACACCACAGAAATACAAACAATTGTAACAGAATATTATGAAAACCTATATGACAACAAATTGGACAGCTTAGAAGAGATGGATAAATTCCTAGAAACATAACCTCTTTTTTTTTTTTTGAAGATTTTATTTATTTATTTGAGACAGAGAGAATGAGAGACAGAGAGCATGAGAGGGAGGAGGGTCAGAGGGAGAAACAGACTCCCCGCTGAGCAGGGAGCCCGATGCGGGACTCGATCCCGGGACTCCAGGATCATGACCTGAGCTGAAGGCAGTCGCTTAACCAACTGAGCCACCCAGGCGCCCAAAACATAACCTCTTAAAACTAAAGCTGGAATAAATAGAAAATTTGAACAGACCAATTACCAGCAATGAAATTGAATCAGTAATCAAAAAAGACTCCCAATATACAAGAATCCAGGATCAGATGCTTTCACAGGCAAATTCTGCCATACATTTGAAGAAGAGTTAATACCTATTCTTCTCAAACTATTCCAAAAAATACAAGAGGAAGGAAAGCTTCCAAGTTCATTCTATGAGGCCAGTGTCACCCTGATACCAAAACTAGATTGAGACACCATACACATACACACACACACACACACACACACGCACACACACACAAGAGAACTATAGGCCAATATCTCTGATGAGCATAGATGCAGAAATCATCAACAAAATATTAGCAAACTGAATCCAACGATACATTAAAAAATTCATATACCACGATCAAGTAGGATTTATTCCTGGGATGCAAAGGTGGTTTAATATTAACAAAACGATCAACACGATACATTGCATCAATAAGAGAAAGGATAAGAACCATATGATCACTTCAATAGATGCAGAAAAAGCATTTGACAAAGTACAACATCCATTCATGATTAAAAAACCCTCAATAAAATAGGGTTAGAGGGAACATACCTCAATATAATAAAGGCCTTATATAAAAAAACCCACAGCCAACATCATACTCAATGGTAAAAACCGGAGAGCTTTCCCTCTAAGGTCAGGAACAAGGCAAAGATGACCACTCTCACCAATTTTATTCAACATAGTACTGGAAGTCCTAGCCTCAGCAATTAGACAACAGAGAGAAAGAAAAGGAATCCAAACTGGTAAGGAAGAAGTAAAACTCTCACTATTTGCAGATGACATGATACTGTATAGAGAAAACCCTAAAGATCCCACCAAAAAACTCCTAGAACCGATAAATGAATTCAGTGAAGTCACAGGATACAAAAATCAATGTACAGGAATCAGTTGCATTCCTATACACTAATAATGAAGCAGCAAAAAGTGAAATTAAGAAAATAATCTCATTTACAATTGCATCAAAGACAGTATGTGGGAATAAATCTAACCAAAGAGGTGAGAGATCTGTAGTCTGAAAACTACAGAACATTGATGAAAGAAATTCAAGATGATACAAAGAAATGGAAAGACATTCCAAGCTCATGGATTGAAAGAACCAATATTTTTGAAATGTCTATACTACTCAAAGCAATCTACATATTTAATGCAATCCCTATCAAAACACCAACAGTATTTTTCACGGAACTAGAACAAACAATCCTAAAATTTGTATGGAACCACAAAAGACCTTAGATAGCCAAAGCAATCTTGAAAAACAAAACAAAACAAAATTGGCGGTATCACAATTCCAGGTTTCAATGTGTATTACAAAGCAGTAGTAATTAAAACAGTATGGTATTGGCATAAAAATAGACACATAGATCAATGGAATAGAACAGAAAACCCAGAAATAAATCTGCAATTATATGGTCAATTAATTTTTGACAAAGGAGGCATGAATATACAATAGGGAAAAGACAGTCTTTTCAACAAATGGTGTTGGGAAATCTGGACAGCCACACGCAAAACAATGAAACTGGATCCCTTTCTTTGACCATACATAAAAATAATCTCAAAATGGATTAAAGACCTAAATGTGAGACCTGAAACCATAAAAATCTTTGAAGAGAGCACAGGCAGTAATCTCTCTGATGTTTGCTATAGCAAAATTTTTCTAAATATGTCTCCTGAGGCAAGGGAAATAAAAGCAAAAATAAACTATTGGGACTACATCAAAATAAAGCCTATGCACAGTGAAAGAAACAATCAACAAAAGTAAAAGGCAACCTACTTAATGGGAGATGATATTTGCAAATGACATATCTGATAAAGGGTTAGTATCTAAAATATATAAAGAACTGACACAACTCAATATCCCAAAACCAAATAATCCAATTAAGAAATGGGCAGAAGACATGAATAGACATTTCTCCAAAGAAGTCCTACAGATCACCAACAGACACATGACAAGATGCTGAACACTACTCGCCATCAGGGAAATGCAAAACAAAACTATAATGAGATATCACCTGACATTAGTCAGAATGGTTCTGGGCCCCCAATTCCCCTACTTCTTCATCTCCACTGGCCTCACCACCACTCTGTTTCTTCCAAGCTCTCCCAAAGCTATATCCTCGGTCTTATTACCACCTGAAATTGCTCAACTTCTGAAGTTTGAGATGCAATTACCCCCCTTTTGACCACAACCTCTTGGCACATGGTTCTCTGTCAATTACTCACTCTCCATGTGTTCTTGGACCTCAAAGAACTACATTTATCCCTGGCTCTTCTGCTCTTTTCATTTGCCATCTACCCCTCATCTTGTCACTTTTCTTTCTATGAAGCCTAGACTGTGCCCCATCATTCCAGAACCAAGTTCCTACGTCAAAACCCCAATTCTGGATCATTCAACTTTGTTTCCTGGCCAGGACTGCTGGCTTCTGGTAGGGAAAATAAACCATGAGTATGGATGCCCAATTATCGTCTCCCACCCCACCTGAGCCTTCCAAGTGGCTAGGCAATCCTACATTTCCCTTGTCAATGGTTTCTCTCATTCCCTATAGGTACTATTTCAGCTCTTCTCCCCTCCTCACTTTCTATTCCATCTCTCCCTCATGCTCAACCAATGAAATTCCCTTTTTCATAGAGAGAATTCACACAGGAATGGTCTCAATTTTCTGTGACCAAACTTGTAAACTTGCTGAAGACACACTCATTGTTTTCTCTCTACCTTCTGTTACAAAAGAGGGTAGGTTCTTCTTCTGGACTCTGGCCCATGTCTCTTACCAATTTTATAGATCTTAGCCCCTCCCTCCTTCTCCTAGGGCCTTATTTCATCCATTATACTCTCACTCACCTGTATCTTAAAAACGTTCTTTATGAAGAATTTCAAACTTATAGCGAAGAGTTATGTAACACACAGTCTGTTCTTACCATCTGCATCAGTTAGGGCTCTTAGTTACAAGCAAGAGAAACCTGCTGTAGATGGTTTAGGGAGAAAAGAGGCTTAGTAAAGGATAATAAGATTACAGAATCTCCTAACACAGAGAACCAGGGCTAGAAGCCATGGAAGTAAGATCATTTCCAAATCGTGTCACCAGCCCAGTCCAGGAGATCCACTGTAGTCCATACTACTGATGTTGCGTATGACTGGTGGGGCCAACTTCACAAGCCCATGCCCCAGCTGCCAAAGAGGCTGCGGGAAAAAGTTTCTGGCTCCTACTTCGGGATTGTAGAGAATGCCCAAACAGAGGAGGGACGTTCAAAGATATCCAATAGACACAAGGAATGTTGAATGTCCCCCACAGTCCACCCCCTGGCTGTCCAACACCTAATTACACTCTTCTTCCTTACTTCAAAGCGTAAACCTCATCAGCAACAGCACTTCCATTAGCACAGTACAGCCATCCCTCCTACAGATAATAAATACATGGCCTTCTCTAAAGGGAATTTCAGGATCTACAGGATATGTGCAGACCTTATCTTGTTCCATCGTGAACCCGTCTTGATGTACTGGACCTGTGGATGCATTGAAATGTCAGCCATTTAACACATCCTATGTGAAAGAGTAAGGAAAGTCAACTCTGCCAGTTTTTAAGCTATTGTTTCTCAGCTCTGAACTCACCATTTTATACATGGCTGGGGCTCGAACTGGGACTCTGCAAACCATGTCCACACCAAAGTGCTGCCAATAGGAGCATCCCTGGGGGGCCGCAGGAGGGAGACGAGGCTTGTCACTTCCTGTCTGTGTGCCTTTCCCATCAGTGTCAACCAGCAACACTTGTTCACCCTGGAAGCAGCAGTTGGTTCCAGTTCAGTCTTTTTCCTCATTCTCAGAACCAACTTCATCACTCACTCTCCCTTTCTTTCTCTCATGTGCGCGCGTGCGCGCGCGCACACACACACGACTGGGTCTCTCTCTCTCACACACACACACACACACACACACACACACACACACACGACCAGGTCTCTCTCTCTCACACACACACACACCCTGCTCTGTGATAATAGCCAAGCAACATGCTCTCCTCTGAAGTCTGGGTTCCACTTCCTTATCACCACTTCCCCAAGCTTCTAAATTGAATGAGTCCCAACCTCTTCCCTTTGTCCCCCCGCCTCCCTAAGCCTGCAGAGGTGGGGCTCTGCTTCCTGCTGTTAATATCACTAGGTTATCCCATGTTCCCTTCTGCTTTTTCAGTATTCTGACACCCGTTTAATTCTCTATATTCTGTCTGTTAGAAAAAGCCAACATGGTAGCCCTTGTTTCTGGTTGGTAATTAGAACTTCATTCCCCCACCTACTTCATGTTCCTTTTGTCCTCAGCTGGTCAAAATTCCTTACTCGGTGGGAATAATGCAAAGTTTCATTGGGGAACGATCAGAACCATCACCAGTGGCCATGCCTATTTGGTTTGCTGGGAATGTGGGATACTTAGTGAAAGAAGGAAATCATGATTACCAACTACAACCTCATGACCTGTTCAGAAACAAGGACTCTAGGATTGTAACCGAACCCAAGTCTGTCTGTCCCATGCGCAGAGACAATCACTGAGACATCAAGTATGTAGCAAGGAAAGGGTTTGAGAGGCAGCCAGATGAGAAGATGGGAGGGCAAACCTCAAATCCACCTTACTTCTGGGAAGCTGGGAGAGTCAGGGATATTTAGAGGCAAACAAAAATGGTCTGGGTAAAAAGTTGCATCTGTGAATAGCCCTGTTAGCCCTTTCATTGCTGGTTTCACTCCCCACTGTCTTTTGGTCATTCCTTATTCTAGAGGGAATTGGGACAATGACCATTCTAGTTACGACCTGCTGCAATTAAGTTCGAGGTTATAGCAATGGAATCTTTCTGCATTCATTTAGAAATATTCTTCAGTTCCAGGTTGAAAACCAACATTCTGCATTATCAAGATTTTTGTACTTTGGTTCTCCCTTGGGCAAACAGTCCCATTTCTGGTGTCATTGGCCATGGACAAGAGCTGATGGGTCACCACTGCATCCAGCTCTTTGCTGTTCTGTGTCCATAAAACTGCTTGCATCCATGACATCTCAAGGTCTGGATTTTCCAGTGGCAGATCCAGCAAATCTGGATGGCCAAAATAAATTTGTTCAATTATCCATATGCCTCTAGTGATCTTTGAGTGGCCTATGAAGCAACAGACATGAAGTTTGTCCAAAGATGGGCCATTATAACAATTTTTCTGAAATTTATCTCAGGTTGTCCAGGTTCAGTTTGGAGTGCTTCAGGAAAATGTGGTTTTAGTTCTCATTGATTTCAAGTTAGGAGAATGGAAGAAAATTGGAAACCTTAGTTTGAAGAGTCATAGCCAGACATTTGAGAAAATTAGGATCCATTCCAAAGACAGCCAATCAGAACTAGAATCTAATATCCACAAAGGTGTTACTGAAACAATTTCTCTAAAATCACCCTCATTTCCAAAGAAAGCCAGATTAAGCTAATTTGTTTGTAAAATAAATCCAATTTTAACAAACTTGGCCTAATTATTTATGTAAGTACAGCAAGAAGAGTGATTGGTCAGGCGCCTGGGTGGCTCAGTTAGTTAAGCTTCTGTCTTCGGCTTGTCATGATCCCAGGATCCTGGGATTGAGTCCTGCATCGGGGTCCCTGCTCAGCGGGGAACCTGCTTCTCCCTCTGCCTGCCGCTCCCCCTGCTTGTGCTCTGTCAAATAAATAAATGAAATCTTAAAAGAAAAAAAAAAGAATAGTGATTGGTCATATAGGTTAGTTGGTTTTTGATCTGTTTTGCTGGAATTTCATAAGGAATTTCAGATTGAACTTTTAACAACCTCTTAAGGCTAAGAAACCAAGCCAAATACTTGTCACAGACTTCACCTGTGATACTGCTCTTCCTGAGATCCCCAAAATATCCTGAGGTTCCTGCACCCGCCAGAAAGTGACCTTCTTTACTCACCTGGTAAGGCTGCTGGGAACCCTGTAAGCAAGGTACGAGGCTGATTTTTCCATGGGGCTTCATTAGCTCCATAAAGGCAGTCTTACCCCTTAAAGCTGTCTAATCATATCTGAGTCTATGCAGGTCTCTCTCTCTTTTTTTTTAAGATTTTATTTATTTGACAGAGAGAGACACAGTGAGAGAGGGAACACAAACGGGGCTCGAGGACCCTGAGATCATGACCTGAGGCGAAGGCAGACGCTTAACCACTGAGCCACCCAGGTGCCCCAGTGCAGGTCTCTTTCAAATAGGACATTCTAGCCCAAAACTTGGTAATATAACCAGTGTTTCCAATTGTGTCCTGACATAAGGAGACCAGACTCTTATTGAACTTATGCAAATAAATACATTGCCATGAAAATATAATACTCACTGAGAGTTTCTGAATTCTGGAGGGAACAGGTAGGGAGAAAAGATAAAAGGTTTCATATTTGTTTACGAAGGAGTATTTTACCAGATTGCTGTAAGTGATAGCTTTAAATCTGGAAAAGCAAACATTAGAGAACAAGCAATGTTTCAAACAAGAGTCTGCTTGAATGCAGCCTTTCCATTAGTTTCAGAAATTCTAGTTTTCGGATCTTAAAGGTATCAGAGACCTGTATATGTCATTACAATGCAATTGACAAGGAAGTTCTGTGACCAACACTTCAATAATGGGAAGGACAAGTGACGACATTATGCTGGGATGCATCAAAACCTTAGGAATTTTATATAATTCCTGGAACACTCATTGCATTCACTCATGGGTGCTAAAGAGCGTTTTTTAGCACTTACTTGACAATGCTTCCCGTGTAATTTGACATGCAAAATAAACAAGTGTAAACAGTCAAGAAGGCTTCATTTAGAAGTTGAATTTTGAGAAATTTGTCTGAAACATCAGGTGTTGAAGTACATGCCTAAATAAGATTACAGATTACAAAACTTAATACTAAATTATGTATTTAGCCACGGTGGCAACAAGAGATTCTAAAGCCAAATGCAGAGGGTCACATAGTTGTTAACCAAACTTAGTTCTATTTGTTCATTGTTCATTCATGTAATCTCTACACCCAGTGTGGGGCTCAAACTCATGACCCCGAGATCAAGAGTCAGATGCTCTTCCAACTGAGCCAGCCAGGCACCCCTGAAACTTAGCTCTTTTAATAGAAGCTTTGTTTTTCTAGGCAGATTAAAAGATAAATTTTGTTTACAATTTAGACCAATTATCTAAGAAAAGTGTCATTTTAACAGAGAAAACCCAAATTCCAGTCTTATACCAATGTACATCTGATACTAAAACTCATTCATTCCAACAGGCTGACTTTTTAAAAAGGTGTGCAGTCTCATCTCTTTCTTGCCTAACTCCCATGTTGATATACTTATTGAGACAAGGACTTCCAGGATGCTGCATGGACCTGTGTTCTTGGGGAGGGTGCTGGGATGTGGACCAGTATCCCCATCAGGAACGAAGGACCCTAAGCTATAAGGACACTGCCATCAGGGATTGCCTTGACTGAAGATAGCTGCCTTGTCAAAGACATGCCCTCTTTGTGGGTAGCCACATCCAATGACTGTTCTAAAAACCCTAAATTTTGTCCCAATTTAGGTTCTTTTGAAACTTGTCAGAGAATCAGTTAGTCTTCTGTTGATTTTGTATCACTGCTCAATGTCTGCCTGATCCTGCTTATTCTCCCTTCTCTTCCCTAGGTGCTGATCACTTTTTTTTTTCTTTTTTAACATACTAGCTTCCATCATCTTCATCCTGACCATGCACAAAATTCCTTTCCAGAGATGCCTTCTCACAAACCTTCAACTTTCCTTTTTACATTCAGATTTTGTCCTAAGTTTCCCTCTTAAATAACCAGGCTCGCTTCCCTTGCTTACACAGTTTTCCCCTTATTTTCAATAGTCTTAACATTAAAATTTATACCTGTTTCTTTGTTCTTGGAATATCCATAAAACTTCACAAGGCATTAGACAAAGTTCTAAGGGCTTCTTTTTTTTCCTTTTCCTACAAATTTTACAATGGAGATAACAAGAACTTATTTAACTTTCAGTAAGCATGGGCAGAATAAGTTTTATATTTAATGCTGATAATTCTAAAGGCATGTCCATTTTAATTAAACCAACCTCAGCTTAGCTTTCATAGCAAATATTTTCCCAGATCATAAAACAGTTGTTTCTATCTTTGAATTAGAATGCCTAATTCTTATAAATGCTTACTTTTAATTAAATATAGCTTTTATGAATTTTAGCAATACCATCCAGAGGTAGAGAAAATAGCTCACATTTACAACATACATGGTCAAATACACAAACAGGATGCAAAGCAAATCTTAAAAGCTCAATTCCCAAATATCTCCCTTTTACAAAACAAATCTAATTGTAAGATGGTATTATAGCTTATGGACCCATTAATTGGTCATTCTTCTCCAGAGCCTAATGAATATTGTGGCCAAACAGTGTTGCAAAAAAGAAAAAAGATTGCCCAAATTTGGGGGATACAACCGAAGGGCAGCATGTAGGCATAAATTGTCATTTCCCATTTTCCAATTAGAACACAGCTAGTTTTATTCAAAGACACCAAAAGCTGAAGCAACAAACAAACCAAATGAAACCCAGAATACCTCTGTGAGCATTGGTACCTCCTCAAAAGTTGGGGTGTCACCAACTGAACCTATGGCTTCCTACTTTCTAGTTCCTCCCTAAAAGTCAGAGCTTCACCAACTGA